CCTGTCAACATGTAAATGGCAATATGTTCAAAAATTATGATATTTGCAATGTTACCAATCGATGCGCTTTCTTTTTGAATTGCGTAAACAAACAAATCATACAAGTTAATTACTTTTGTTCCTTAACAGCCCGATTCCTTTGAAAATACTGTTTATTGGCCAGTGCTTCTGTATTACAATGGGATCGCCGCGGTTAGTTTTACCGCAGCCGTTAAGCCGGAACCAAATATCTTTAAACACATATATGTATATATGTATATATACATATGTGTATCTATAACTGAGGCTCTGGTGCACGTAAACAATTCATTTTACAGCCTAAACAAGAACGAAGTTAACTTGTACGGTACGTAAATCTTATCGAAGACAGACGTTCACTGATTCTTAAACGGTCGCGCAGAATTCAAAGAAAATAGAAGACATGTGCTCCATTCGGGTTATTTAGTCGCTAAATATAGAGGTGTATTTACGTCGGGGCGTATATGGAACGGCAATGATTAAACGAATAAAAAAAATCTCCAGATTTATTTATAACCGCGTGGCATTAAACGCATGCGGGGGTGTTTTCGCCGCCACCCATTGACGTGTTAAAAAAAGAAAACCAAACTTAAACGGAAAGGTTATTTCCGGTTTATATGCGGTAGAAAAAAAGAAAGATCTGTGCCATTTAAATCCATAATTTTCCATAATTTTTCAAAGAAACTGCCACAGGCTACTGTAATAATAATTACAAATAGGATGCCCCATGCGTTGGTTGTCGTAAAACTATCTTAAACCGAGCCACTGAACCCAGAATTAAAACATCTTATGTCCGCTCTTCTCTTTAATAAATTCCACATCAGACATATTAAGCGTTCTGTCACAAAAAACTTTCCACAGATAATAATTCCGAAAGCAACCCCACACTTGCTATTGACTTCATATCAAAAGTTGTCCAAAAATCTCTCAACATGTCAGAGTCATGAGATACAGTTTGCATTTCCTGCATATGCGGCAAGGAATACATTGAGCAGACCGAAGGAAAAATATCAACTAGGCTCAAAAAACATGAAAACATGAAGATTCAAATAAACTCATCAGCATTTACAGAACACAATCACGAAACCGGACATCAAATTTTATTCGATAAAAGTAAAATTCCTGCATGTGGTCAATTCTTTTACCAATGAAAAATCCTAGATTCTATAGAAATCTATAGAAGATTTGTAAATATTAAATACATGTTAATTGCTTGTATCCTTAATATTTTATTAATCTTGAACAGGAAGAAGAGTTTTACAGGCTATGCGACACCTGTGCATGAGGCCGGCGGTCCAACCATCCTTAAATCCCAGGTGATGCATGCATTTTCTAATTCGAAAAAATAGAGCAGACATTAAGCAAACAACCTCATCAGGATACTACCTTCGAATTCCAGAGAGAACCGATTGAACGACGAGCCAAGTTCAAGTACGTTGGTAGTATCATAACAGATAATCCGAATCCAGACTGCGAGATTAAATGTCGAAGTGGTGCATGCCTTCTCCGTTGCAAAAAATAGGAGGACAGTTGGACCAAGTGTGATTCCGACCGAAACCTTAAAGCTCATTGTAGAACATAATATTGGAATAATATTCCAATAATACTGCAACATATAATACAGAAGAAATTCCTGATGACTGGATATTGTTATGAAAAAGCAAGTTCAACACGATACTCATTGGAATATTAGAGATTGCTGGGATAGACGACAGAGATATTCGTATAATTAAAATCTTATAGTGGATCCAAAGAACACAATTAAGAATAAGGAATACTAAAACAGACAGTATTGAAATACGGTGAGTAGTGAGAGAAGGCTGCATGCTGTCTGCCATGCTCTTCAACCTTCACTCTGATGAAATATGCAAAGAAAAATCGGAAGGAATCACAGCTGGACAGGTAATAGCAACGATAAGAGCCGCCGATGGCACAGTGATTCTGGTGCATACAATGCAGGGATTGAAATCACTCACGAACAAAATCGGTGAGGAGCATAATCAATGTCACAAAGAACAAACTCATAACATTCAGCCTATAATCTCATCAAGATACTCTCTGGAGTACCAGGGAAAGCGGATTGAATGAGTAGCCACGTTCAAATACCTTGGTAGTATCATCACAAAAAATCCGAATCCAGACTGGGATATTAAATGCCGAATACAGACTGCTAGGCCTACCTTCTATAATTATCCTTGATTTGCAGTGACTATCTAAATCTAAAGCTGAGGCAGCATACGATTCAGGGCTACGTGTGGTCAGAACTGTTGTACGGAGTAGAGACACAGACTCTGAAAATTCAAAGACCCAGTTGGAGGCAATTATAATATTATTTTTTATTGCTATTTACAAATCTTCTGGATTTCTCCTACATCGGTTGTTGATGAATCGAACTTTCTGATGTTTCGACAATTATGCTGTTGGCTTCTCCAGAACTTAACTGAAACTAATCCATTTCTCTATCTCTAATTCAGTAATGTACATGGCGAATATTTTAAAATATATAAAATATGAGATCCCGTTTGAAGGAAATTTAAACTGGAATCTGTATGGTCATGGTCATAGTCAACTCAGTTCAATTCACTTGGAATAGTTCATATTGCATCCGATCAACTAGAACCACTTGCACCAAATATGTATTTTAAAATTCAATATAAAAAAATTACGGGCTCATCAGCCAAAAACAAGTCTATCGTGTGTCGTAACTTGCTTTGTTTTAAATAAAGAACGTCAAAAATTTCTAGAAAAAGTATGTTTTTTATTAATTGTGCAATAACCTATATTATACAATTTCATTCGAATTACATATAATAAAGTCAATTATGTCCCCAACTAAGCATGCACAATTTTATGAAAATAAGTTCTTAAGTAACTTATAAAAAAGCGATTTCTTGGCAATGGTTTTTAATTTATATCTTGCCTATGAACCTAGACACAAAGAACACAGGGAATAAACAAAAAAATTTTTGATCGTTTGCTCGAAAAACAATATTAAATCTTCAAAAAATCAATAGTGTACCATGATTTTACCTAGACGTATCAATTAGGTCTCCCTCTGCGACGCCACTGGAGAAAATAATAAAAAAAAAATAAACTTTCTAAGTTTTGTCAAAATCTGCTAAAGGAGTAATTAATACAAAAAAAAAATTCTATAAAATATGACAAATTTTATTCCTTTTTTAAGTTTTTTTACATTGCATATATGAAATTGTTCAATAAACAATTCCCCAACTGAAGAAGCATTGGGTGTTGAAGGTTCAAATTTTATTCCTCTTTTTAAGTTTTTTTACATGGAAAATGTACTTCATATTTGAAATTGTTTTCAATAAAATGAAAAGTCTTAGTTCGTCATTTTTTGAAATGCACTTAAGACAACGGGATCTGTTTTCTGCCCTTTCTCATTAAGATCAAAAATATGCACGATAACGGCCATCATAACGCCTTATTTAACCTCGAGACGTCGATCAAGCTCGAGCAATTTTTGCGCTGAGTTTTTAAAGTCGCTATCGACTATCTGAAAAATTCTCAGAACTCTACGTCGTATCTAATTACACTTTACGTTATTTGTTATCGAGTTTAACTCGTACGCTGCGAAACCTCGATAATGCATACGCGAAAAGTTTCTTTTGAATTTGCCCGGCCTGTTGTGATGTACGTAATTTTTCCTTATTTTCGTGGAAAAATTTAAACCGCGAAAGAGACGAAATTAACTAGAATTGTTTATAATTTTTTTTGGTAAATGTTGCGGAAAAAGACTGACACATACATAGTATAGGACTGGTTCATACCCGTAATTGAACTTCAACTCTTAATTTCAATGCTATGTAAGAGTTGTAAAACCAAGATAAAATGATTTGTATAAGATAATAAAAATGAAACCAAATGTATTTGTAAATGTAATGCTTGGAAATAAGTACCGTACCGTGTCGTCTCTAGACTGACTATTTTTTTGCTTTAACCCATATCGAGTTGTGTGGAATGAATATACCTATATCAACCAGCAACTGTTTATTTTAAAACCATAAATCCATCTCAGTTATGGTCGCACTCCATTGCCAAAAGCCGAAGCTCGAACGTAATATCGAACGTAAACACAACTAACCAGCAACTACACACTTCATTCACAATTATATCATATCCTTCTTCTTAGGGTACTGTCCCAAATAATATCGGCGACGAATAGCGGTGGTCTTACCTTGTCAACCGCGGCGCAAAATTCTATTAGAAATAGCTTCAGTTTATTTTTTGTTTTAAAACTATGGGTAAATTACTCTTAAAATGTTACCTAAGAAGGTCAAGCAATGGAATCTACGTTCTTGGCTTTGATATTTTTATATGATACGGAAATTACTGATTTTTAAAACAAAGAGGATTCCGTTGTTGAAAATAGGCGGAGTTGAAGAAAGATTGTATCACATCGTCAGCAGATGTGAACTTTGTAAAATTCTGCTACTTTAGCTTAACATTTAAAAACTTTCGCCCTACTTATATACTTGCATAAATCGTAGCGAATTTAGCTGATCACATCATAACCAAAGCAACTTTCGCTTAGGAATTTTGAACTTTTGCCCTTTCAAATTGTTGAAAAACCCTTACCTTAGCTTACCTTTAGTGTCTTTTTTACTTTAAGGAAATATTTTGTATAGTCTGCAAGTACTACTATACTTCGCTGAATCCTTAGCTCACATTTGTTATGCTGCCACTTGTTCTTTTCCCTTAGGCTTAACAAACACGTACATTGAAATTGTTAGCACATCGAAAATATAGCTTTGCCCCAGCTGGAATAATGTGGAATATAATGCTGTTCTACACTTATTAGTTTATTTCATTTTTATTTTACGCCTCATGTGATTTTTCGACGAACTGGACCAGTACACTTCTGACTTGTGAGATAATTAAATTGAAGCACTATAATGTCTATGATTTTACAAACCATTCGTTATTATTATGTGTAATGGACCATTTTCTATTTCCTTTTGCAGGAGGACGCCACGTCTACCGTCTTAACCGCACACTACCGCTGCAGCCATGGACGGACCCGAAACAGCCTCACGAAATGTTGAAGACCCTCATCAAGCTAAAACCATCTTCAATCTACTGTCCAAACTCAAAGACGAACCGAACAAAAGCATACGACCGACCGAAGATTCCCAGCCGAATAACGAAGAAATCGAAGACATCGTAATCCTGCGAAGAGATTCGAAAACTCAACAAAAGTACATCAACAAACCCGCTTACCTGAAACTACACCGCAGTTTATCTCCTACCAGAACTTCTGTCGACAGAATCAAGGAGAAATTCGACGGCGCGACAGATAACCAAAGAAACGAACGCGAAGAGTCCAAAGTTCCTCGAAACGAAACCCTAGAATCGATTAAGAATAAGTATTCGCCCTCGGCTTTCGGATACTCCGCGCTACCGGTGGCCAAGCCGAGAAGAAGTAGATTAGTGAAAAGTCAAATAATAACCGCCCCGACCACGGACAGAGCGAAGCAAAAATTGAGGTATAGTTTGAACGTCGACAAGTACGGGAAAAAGAAGGACGTCAACTCCAACGACTTAGATAAGGACGCAGGTTCGTCCGGCTCGGAGGAATACCTCACCATCGTCACCAACTCCCGCAAAGATTCGATCGAGAGCGTCCTCAAGTTCCAAGAAGAGTTGGACGCCTTCACGATGGACAAGAAGAAACGCACCAGCAGTTTCCGGAAACTGTTCGCGGGGAAGATTTTCGGAGGCAAAGACAAGAAGAAAAAGGAAGACGCCAAAGCGACGTCATACAAGGATAACGCGCAAAACGAGAGCAACAAATTTATGCGACAATCACCGTACAGGCACACCACTGGCGGCGAGAACATGACGAACAAATTCAAAGACTCGAAAGTATCAAAAAACGACGAGCTACTGGAGAGGGATTACGCGCAAATGCACATCAACCAGTTCAATAGGATCAAGCGCGACTTTGAGCAACCTAAAGCCGCTCAAGGCTACGTTTCCATGGACAAACCCATCATTAAAAGTACCGACACGAGTCCGTATGTAAACATACCGGGCGTTCGAAAGTACATCGACACCAGCTCGTCCGCGAGCACGCTAGAGTCCGATCGGTCCAATTTGTACCAAAACGAAGCATTCGCCAGAGCGAATCAAGCTAAGCATGGTAACGATGACAAGAATTCGCTGAGATCGAATAAAATTGGCGATACCCGCAGGGACACGCCTCCCAGGGCGACGGAGACCAGACAGGATTTGTATTTGGTGAACCCCAAAGCGTTGATACCCATAAATTCGGAACGGCCGTTACCGAATCCGTATCAGAGCAGTAGCGGGGTGTCTTCTGAGGAAAAACTGCCCAACTCGCATATCCGCGTCGAGGAGACGTACGGCACTGTGCTGGACAGCCTCGAAACCGGGCAGAAGATCAACGCGCCGCCTCCAAGATCCCCCTCGCTCGAGCCATCCAAGTTGAAACTGCCTCAGCGCAGGGAAATAGTTCCGTTGTCTCCCAGGATCAGATCGCCAATACCGCCGGATAACATGTCGACCGAGAAGATTATAGCCACCGAATTGTTGAAGGCGAGAAGATCGCCGATACCCAGCAAGAAAGAGCAGAAGGAGGCAGTTCCGAGCCACCAGAGGCTCGAAATCGACATCGACTATCCCGACAAAGTCAGACAGAGCAAAGAGAACATACTGCGCAGTTTGGAGAATCTGATAAGCAAACCTCCGGTGGCTACCAAGCCGCCTCCGAAGCCAGCCAGGTCTCCGATCGCTGCTGATTACGGTTACACCGCCGGGACCGCTGGGGATCGCGTGGTCACTAATGCGCAGGTCCATTCCAACTCGCCGTCGAACAGAACCCCCACCCCTAGCGGTTCGGTACAAAACGTGTCGTTGTCCCCGTCCAGGTCTACCCGCTCGACGACGCCGCTGAACGCAAGGATCCCTGAGTCGCCCAAGACGACGCCGCAAAAGGAAGACATGCGCAAAAGCGTCGAGGCTTACTACTGGAAGGAAATCAAGAAGCTCAAAGATCAGGAAAACTACGAGCTCTACATGTACCAAATGCGGTACGCCAACGCAATGCCTTACGGTTACGGCGACGAGGCGATCAGTGTACGCAGGTCCAGGAGTCTGTCGCCGTCGGTGCAAAGAAACGGACGGCGCAGCCTAAGTTTGCCGCGTGAGTCGAGACCTTCGAACAACGTCATCGGATACAGGCCGAACGCCATCCCCGAAGGCAGGGCGCTTACCAACGCGCCCGCGCAGCAGCCCAGGAGCGTTCAGCAAATTCAGTTCCAGCAGAATTTCGTCAGGAACGCCCCGGAACGGCGAACGGTGGACGGCGGTACCGTGAACTATTCCACCAATAGTCTCTACCGGCCCATATTCAAACGTGGCAGTTTGAGTTCCCCACCTACACAGCAACAGATCGTCGAACGAAAAGTGAGCTTCTCGAACTCGGGAGATGAGGCGGCGCGAGTTTGGCCGACGAGAAACGGATTCACCCGAAGTCCTCCGCAGAGGAGGATCGAGCAGCTCGACAGCCAAACGGACGACGAGGTATTTTTACCAAACGCAACGCTGGTCGTTGACGGGGTGCGATATCGTCGACCTCCAAACGTCAGGCCGCGTGAAGAGTTGTACTATAACGCGGAGCCTGTCTACGGCGTGCGGAATTTGCAGAGGGTTGTAGAGGAGAACCCATATGCGCAAAGGTATAAAGGGGAGGTGTTGTACGGACAGCCGATGGACGCGCTGAGAACGCCTCGGGGTTTGACGAGGCACGGCTCAGTGCAGATCGACGACGAGATCTACGGTCAACGGGGAATGGCTAGAAGGTTACCTCCGACGCAGCAGTCAATGGAACCTCTTTACGTCGCTAGGCAGGAAGTCGTGGAGAAACCTATGCCGCCTAGACGGCAGATTATCGTCAAGGACGACATCTTCGGTCAATTCGGTGGGTACGTCACCCAACAGACCTCCGGGTACCCATCTCGTCAGAGCATAGTCGATTACAACAATCGAGTTAGGCAAGAATACTACCAGCAGAAGCAAGTGTCGGTGTCTAACAAGGTATGCGACATGTACGGTCAGATCCACGACGTTGGGCCTTCGCAGAGTGGGGTACTGATGGGTCAGCTGAGCAGGAACTCAGGGACACCCGTCGCCGTGAGGAATTCCTACTCGCAGCTGCCCAGGCGCGACCAATTCGTGCGTAATGGTAGGTTGACCGCCAGCGCGAACGACATGTACCGTAGGGGAGGAATGGAGAACATCGCGCCCACGCGGCCGTTGCCGCCTCTGCCTCAAGGGAAAGCGAAAGGTCAGGGGCGTAGTAACGGGGGTCCGTCGGACACGGAAAGCGGATCGGACGCGGGCGAGGTGCAGCGAATCCTTAACGGTAAAGGGAAGACGAAGAAACGCGGCATTTTCGGAAAGTGAGAATGCGATTTGTAATTGTGATACTTGGGAGGCCTTCCAATGTTCTACTGTATACCGGGTGTTTAGATAAGGTATGCTCTCCGAAGGAATAAGTCATCAGGGTCGTAATATTGCTGCTAGCGATATCTGCTGTACCAGTACAGTGCAGCGTTGCACCCTCTACCGGTAATCTTTAAACTTTGAAGAAAGTTTTCTGATATTTACCAAAAAAAGAAATCCTAGAATTCTCTGTCCTAACTTTTATCTGAACGCCCTGTATTATTTGTCACTTATTAATTGTTTTTCAAAGCGAAACTCTCGACAATTCAAACTGGAGCACCGTACGTTTTTAAAAATGTTTCCCAAAGGTACGTTATCGTCTATAAATAGAATCGGCTATTTATTTAATGATGGCATTATTTGTGTTGTTTTATCTAATCTGCCCGCGTTAAATTGGCGAGAGTGTTTTCAAAGATAATACATTTATTGGCATTTCCTGGCACTCTTAGCATCTGCAGGTTTTCGCCGTTTTGTCGACGCAGTATTAAATATGTGCTTTTTGTGTTGTGATCGTCTAAATTTACTATTTATCCGCGTATGGGCTACGTTACTATTTTACGTGTTAAGCGAAACGAATTCCACAGTGTAAATAATTGTTAAAATTTTTCAAAGTATTTTTGTACTTTGTAGTTAAATAAATTTTAATATATTTTGTATGAGTTTTATTTGCTCAAGTTTCGAGTCTTCAGTGTGGGAAGTAACATCAATGCGTACTTAATACTTTTTAATTTTAGTGACGTAACACCAGGATAAGATACATGAGCTCGAACATGCATTATACAGGGTTTATTAATTAAGTTTATTAAATAAAGATGTGAATCTTTGTGTAATTTTAAGAAAAAAGTCAATTAATTGCAACCTATTAGAAAAATCTCTTAATTTTAGAGCTACAGGGTTATAGAACTTTAAAAAAAAATACTTTTTCAAAGTGTCAAACCAGTAGTTCTTCTTCGTCTTCTTTCTGACATGGATAACCACGTTAGTAGTTCATTGTCAACACGTCTTAATTTAATTTTGTATAAGTTTTATTTGCGCAGGTTTCAGGTCCATTTTTTCAACAAGTTTCCCTTAATTTGGGAAGTAAAATCAAACCTCAAATGTTAATTTTAGTGACGTAACGCCAGTAAAGATACAAAACAACGAACAGGTATTATACAGAGTTTTTATTGAGTTTAGTAATTAAGGGTGTAAATATTTTGGTAATTTTAAGAGAAAAAGTTAATTAATATAAACATATCTTAATTTTAGAATTACAGGGAGATAAAGTTTTAAGAATTTATTTACCATTTATGAAAATTTCAAACCGCTAACCCTTTTTTTCTTCTTCTTTCTGATTTATTAAGCCTGCCTTGTTATTTCCATAAGTTCTTAACATATTTTCGTATGAGTTTTATTTCAAGTTTCAAGTTCTTTTTTTACAACCTACCATCAGTTTGGAAAGTAACACCAAAACGTACTTCAAACGTCAATTTTAGTTGAGTAATACCACATGAGATATATAAGAACGATTTGTTATTATAGAGGGTGTTTATTAATTGAGTTTACTAATAAAAGTGCACATCCTTGCGTAATTGAAAGAAGAAAAGATAATTAATATTAACGTATTTGAAACAAATTTTAAGTTTATATTTACAGGGAGATAACGTTTTAAGGAATAAACTTTTTATGAATATTTCAAACCAGTGGCCCTTCTTCTTCTTATTCTTCTTCTTCTTTCTGATATGGATAACCACATGAGTAGTCTACTGCCGGCTGCATTAAAATCAAAACGTACCTCAAACAGGTGGTAAATTAAAAAAAAAAAAACAGAACTTTTATGAAAATTTCAGACCAGTAGAGGTACTTCTTCTCTCTGACATCGATACCTACGTTAGTAATCTATTGCCTATTTATTGCCAACACCTCTTGCCCGGAAGATGAAGTCCAGCGTTCTCTCCATCTTTCGGGTGTTCTGTCCTGTAAGGAATGGCAATATATTAAATTAAGTAAAAGAGCAGACAACGAAAGCAACTCGAATTTCGAGAGAAATGAAAGAAGTGAAGTGAAGACATATAAAACAAGACCAGACACAAACAAAACGCTACATATGATGACAACAGTAGAAATAAAAACACCAAGAAGTGTATAGTCCAAAACTCTATGCGAAGGTGTTCGCAACGAAGATGTCAGGCAACAATGAGAAATACAGGACATAGCAAGGCGGGTAACACAAATTCAGCATTGTTGTAGGAACGCATGTATTTTATCAGGAGCACCTACCTCGAAGATTAATAACTGGAAATTTAAATGGCTTGGCATTTATAATATAAATAGTGCCTAAATTAAACTCTGAATTTTTTCTCCAAGTACGAGTTTACTTAGAAAATTACCCTTGAAATTTTGAGGGATAATTTTCAAAAAATCGCGTGCTCGAAAAAAATTTCGGAAATAGTTCAAGCACTCGGAATTTTGGGGCATATATTAAGGAGCCTTTTTTGACGTAAAATGTTTTTTAATTTATTTTTATTCAATTAAAAATATTTATCAAAACAACAATCGTACGATACTGTTTTTTTTTCTGAAAATTAAAATTATTTATAGCCTATTATGAAGCCTATTAAATTTACTTTCGTACGACATGCTTTTGATATTCCGTTGAAATTGAAGAGTGAAAATAACAAAAATGGCGTGATTAGTATTAAGTTCTCTGCAAAAAAAAATGCCACCGGCAAGTGCCAATGTCTGTGTTTTACAACTCTATTACATAAATAGTTAACTAATGTGGAAAATTATTGTAGAATATGAGCAAATCTGACAAAAATTGGCGTCGAAAAAAACACAGTGTCGATTTTGGTTAGTTAGTTACACCATTCTATTAAAAAGTGGAAATTTTGTTTGAGCCTGTAAGCGAGTTTTTATGAATACTTTTGCAGTGACAAGAAAATGGTTGAATATACTTATTGCTAAAAAGAAAGCGGGCCACACATATTATTCTGGTAAAAGAACATGCCGAAAGTAGGGAAGCAAAAAAAGTTATTAGTCTTTACTTCCAGAAAGTTTGGTATGTTGCTTATTCGTCGACCTTGAACAGGTAATGCAGGTGCATCCTGATATGTTTTACTTATCGCAGCTTTTCTATATAGTGTAGCTGACTGGAACAATATGTTTCTATGGAATGCAAATGTTGCAGGTCATGGGGCAAATGAGATTTCTTCCTTTTTACTTCGCTTCTTAAATAGTGGATTTAATAATAAAAGATCCTCTGGTGCTCAAAATATATTTTGTTTTTGTGATATTCTCGGTAGCTCAATGCCTCAATACAGATAAAGGTTTTTATCAGCGGGCATACCTTTATTCGTTGATAGAAAAAAGCAAAATCTGGTCAACGTCATTCAATCAGCAAGGTACAATCCACCATTTGGAGGGGTCGATATCGCCAATTTAGAATTTTGAGATATAAGAGAACCTTTAAAGTTTTAAATCAGCAAAGCAGTCATAAATAGATCGGCAGAGAAAATCCCACAAATGTCGAGACAAAAACTGTAATTTCGGAATCTCAAAAATATGCTGAGTAAAGCTGTGAAAAATTTACTCAATGCTGAAATAGAAAATAGAAAACAAGAAGAATAGTATTCGTTCTATGTTGTCTTATCTGAGTAATAAACTGTATCAAGGCTTTTATAAGAATCTGCTACAAGCATAGGCTGGAGAGTTCCTTTTTTTGTATTTATTTGTAACATGACATTTTCGACTACTGTTATCATTTATCGTACATTTTGTTTCACGTTTGTGATTAGCCAAGTACCTAAAATAATAGGCAATAAATTTCAACGCCATTTTGTTAAAATGTTCAACGGAAGTGATCCCGTTTTCTTTTTTTCATTTCACAATTTTTGTTTTCAGTTCTGTTTTATTAGCTACATTAATTTATGTTAGTATTGCTACTTCTACTTTTCAATTATTCTGGCCCAAAATTATTTTTGTACTTACACTCTTGATGCCCACTTAATCCACACGTATGCATGATACTTAAAGTATAGATAAGATAAAATAAAAATGGTTTTTTTATTAAAACTGATACCCTATAGCTCGAGGATTCACATTCGGAAGTATTGGCAGTCAATACACTAACAAACACGGTAAAATAAGGGATTATATGTATTATATTTGCTACCCTTGTTTTTTATGAAACACTATAGACAAAATACATTATACTGAAATTAAATTAAAAAGTACCTTAATATTCTTCGTTATCTGAGGAACTGTCGTCTCTTGACATTATAATTAAAGCATTGGAAGTACGATCGATCAAGTAGTCAAGATTCCACATTTTCTCAAATTTTCTCTCTTTTCTCTGGTCTTATATATTTGTAGTGGCACATTTTTGGTCCAGTCACCAATCCGTGTATCATCAAGATAAAAGTTTTAACTCTTTCATCGCTTTCCAGTAAAAGTATCTTTGGTGTATGCTTCTCTCAAGAGAAATCCATATTTTCAATAGTGTTCCATAAAAGTTTTCAACAGATTGTTGGTGTCGTTATCAGGCATTTGAATGGTCTGCCGAAACTTGTGTTGATTTCCACGTCACCTCTTGACTCCCGCACAATTTGGAAAGTAAAATCGAAACCTACTTCAAATATCAATTTTGGTGACATAGCACCAGAAAAGATGCATAAGGTGGAACATTCATTATGCAGGATGTGTATAAATGAAGTGTCGACAATTAAGGGAATGAATTGAAAGTGGTCACAAAATGACAACCAATGACAACCAAACCAAACAACAACAACAACCAAATGACAGCCAATTTGTTAAAGTCAAATTTGCATAACGGATCAAAAATAATTTACTAGATTTATTCTACAAAATTTTATGGTAAAGCTTTTAACACTTACAACGCGCATTTCTGAAGTAATGAAATACGAGGATTTTTAGAAAAATCAATTTTCATCATAGGTTTTCTATCAATGTTTTGCATGTATGATTGATAATACGTTAATACGTCATTTTATTTTGTCAAATAGATTAGTACTGGTCGAATTGCTGGAGAATAGTCTCATACATACTCACTTGGAGATGTTCTTTGAGCTTGATGGAGCATCAGTTCACTTTGGGCGTTGTGCAAGAATCTAGTCAGATGAAAATAGATGGGTCAAGGTGACCTAACCTTTGAGATTCTTCTTGTATCCCGTAATATTTGAATGTGTCTCGACTATGCAAAATAATTGAAATGCGTTTGATAACTTTATGTAAATTAGCGACCTTTGTATTGTTGGCAATTCTACACGGAATTAAACTTACTCGTAATGGTTACTTTATTTTTCAGAAAAATGGCCTGCTACCGGACCATCAAATGAAGCTTAACAAATAACAAAACTATCACTACGGTTTCTGAAATTTTCCAAAACGGTATATCCTAATACCGTGTACCTTTCCCTCGTAGCAACTTTCGAGATTTTGTAAGAAAAACCACTGAAAGTCATTACAGTTTTTTGTTACGCCGTTACTTTCTCTTCAAATATTTCTTATATATTAATTAAAAGCCATTTTCAGGTGAACTCCTTTACAGTTTTTTGTATGGAAAGGAATGCATGCCCAAACAATTACCATTTCTCCTAGGCGGTTTTTC